ATCGCGTTTATAATATCTTGCTGAATCTCGGGTTTTACTATCTCCAGTAATCGGTGAAAAGAGATCCAGATTTTTTTACCCGATACCTGTTTAGTGATATTGGATACGGCTTTATCAGTTTCAGTCATTGTAAATATTGGATTATTTTATTAATACTAATTTAAAAGTGTGCCAAAAAATAATTATTCGATCATTAGTTGTTTTTTCCGATTAAAGATATATAATAAACAATTTGAAAATGGCGCAACTAAATATTTTTAACTTACCTGAATTACTAGAACAGATCTTACATTATTTAGAAATTGATCGATCTCTCTATCCAGCTTTATTTGTCAACCACTTTTGGTATCACTGCGGTGCTCCTATTCTATGGCGTCACATTGAGTTTTATACAGAAAACGATTATCAGAGGGGTTGGCATGGTCGAAAGATGCCTCGAGCTCTTACTCGGCGATTGATAAACTTTAAAAGAGTTATGTGTAGAAATATAAAGCCACTCTATTGTTCAAAGATGGTATATCTCAGGTTAGAAGGTTTAAAAATCAAAGATGCGTTGATTAGTGTGATTCTACGCTCATGTCCAGATATACGCACCCTCATTCTTGATCGAAGTGTTGGTTTCTCTAACATACCAATTATAGAAATTGCGAGATATTCTCCGAAACTACAGCATCTGGGTCTTAATTCGTGTAAATGTCTTACCGATCGATGTATCACTGAAATAGCACGATCTTGTCCAAAACTTAGACATCTTGAGCTTGGTAATTGTTCAATCAGTAATAAAGCTGTCGAGGAAATAGCCCGCAACTGTACTAATTTGAAATATCTTAGTTTGGAGGGATGTAAAGGGATTAGCGAAGAAGTGATGAAAACCCTCAATCCAAAAATTAAAATCGAATACCCTAATTATTCAGATGAAAAATGGTCCGATTCTGATCTACCTCTACCTACTCCAATGTTTACCGGTACATTATTAGATGAAACAAATCTTATTTCTGCGCTCAGTAATTGTATCAGAGATATTGGCGGAATTAACCCTAATCATTCATGGTTTACAAATAATTTTACTTAATGTCGAAGAATAGAGCGGGCAATCAGGTATTCGACAATCTCCAGCTAATTTCAGACAAAGAATTTTTATTTGCTGTGGCGTATATATATCTGTGATAATTTTCCCTTCTTTACTTTTGATTCTAGACATGGGCACTGATTGTTGCTAGCTGATTTTTTGACGAAAATTTCATGCAATTGTTGAAGAGTGACATTCGGAAACAATGGAAGCCCCTCTCCAGTAAAATAAAACATTTTTACCCCATTATCAACGAATTTCTTTATTAGCACACCTAGATCATCTTCTAAGGGGCCGTGGAATTTCTCAAAATTTCGGAGGTACACTCTCGCATTTTTATCGGCTTCTTCTGCCATTTCTTGATTAGTATAGCCAACAATGCCGATTTCTTCCTGAATTGTCGC